CAGGGATCAAAGAAGCACCCGTAGCAAGTGGCTCTGGTGCAGAGATCCCATTCCTCGACTCACCAATGGGTATCGACCCCGTATTCGTGTTAGCAGACGCCCAGGCTTCCCCTGACATCATGCTACAGTACTTCTCAGATGGAGAGGACTTTGTTGACCGGAATCTGGCGCTTTCAAGTCAACCAGGTCAACTGGGTCAGCAGGGTCTGCCAAGCGAGATGCCTGCAAGTGCAGCGATGCCACCATCCTTGGACTCACCAGCAGTCCTGGGAGAGGAGTTTGACTCGGAAGGAGCGCAAACCGGGTCTGGGAAGAGGCTGGTCTACTTTTCTGACGGAGATGACTTTGTTGATGTGAAGTTGGAGCTTCCACAGTCTGGCAATTTCCCACGGGAGAACTCTCCGCCAAGTAGAACCTAATGTTAGTGTATCACAATGTTTACAATACACTCACATAGTATCATTGCTAATGCAGGCTTATTTCACCTTTTGGGAAGATGGAAAGATGCAGCGCTTTTGCGGAGCAATAGCAGCAATCAACAGGACTCGTCCCAGCTTCCATCAGTGGCACCAGAGACAGTGAATGCATTTCACTTGCATCAACAAGATACACCATCCTACTGCAACAAGCACGACAACTTTGCCGGTAACACCATGTGCACCGACTCATTTGGGCGCAATCCTCAAGGACGTTTGCCTGCATGACGGACAGCACAGCAGCACATCTCCAAACGCCCCATTTCCGTCTTCTAGTGCAGCAAAATGTCCAGATAAGGGCCAGCTTCCATCAAAACTCAATCCTTCTTAAAAGCCCCGGCCAACGGTCCAGACGCGGATGTAACCATCAGTGTAACCACCATAGAGGGTGGCTCCATCCGCGCTCCAGTTGAGGCTCACACAGTACGGCGTCTGATGCAGGGGGAGGAAGATCGAAGAAGAGAGCAAGGGAGTGGGGGAAAAAGGCTAGTGTGGGAGAGTGTGGGGAGGTAGGGATTGGGATATTAGCATGGGTGGTGAGAGAGAAGTGAGAAGACGGCACAATTTGAGCAACTCCTGTAAGTCCTCCACACAATCCCAAGTCTCCATTTTAGCAACTGCAAACCCAATCGTCTGCAGAGATTAAAATTCCAAGCTTGTTCGCCCAGCATCCCCAGCCTCCCCCCTTTCCAAGCCCTTCCCAGCCTCCCCAGGCCTCCTGGCCCCCAACAAAGCCCATATGCACACAGGTGGGGCAAAACTATATTAAGAAGGCAACAAAGTTCCATTCCACATCCAACACCATAACTTCAAATGTCCCCTCCCCTCTCCCCCCCCCCCCCCCCCCCCTCCCCTTTCGCTTCCATACCTCCCAGTATGGCCCAGGTCTCCGTGCAGTTTGCCGGGCGACAAACTAGCATACCACAGGGCGTCACCGCATCTCACCACGTGCTCCTGCTCCTCGCCTACCACTTCCCTCACACACCCCTCAAAAGCCCTTCCTTCCCTCACACACCCCACAACCCCTTCCTTCCCTCACACACCCCACAACCCCTTCCTTCCCTCACACACCCCACAACCCCTTCCTTCCCTCACGCACCCCACAAAAGCCCTTCCTTTCCTCACTCACCCGTCCCTTGACTCTTGTCCCTCTGCTCACTGCCCCTTCCCCCGTTCACCTGGCCTTTCCTTTCCCCCGTTCTGATATATGAACTGACCTACCAGGCTCTTGCTCTCCAGATCCCCACACCAACCCCCCTTTTCCCTCTAGCCCACTCTGTCACTTCCACCGGTATCCCAACTCCGGAGCTCCCTGCCCCTCTTCCTCTCCGCTCTCACTCCCCCATTCCCCTCCCCTCACCTGGCTTTTGAACTCAGTAGAGCCGCCGCGCGCGCGAACGAGCTCAAAGTCCGGCATGAGAGTATCCACGAGGCTCTTGCTCTCCAGGTCACCACCAACCACCGCTCCTCTTCCCCCTACCCTCCCTGTCACTTCCCCCCCGTTTCCGAAATGCCATCCCCTCCCGCTCACTTCCCCCGCCCTAACCCACCCCACCCCCTATTATCTCCTGCCCCTCTTACCTGGCCCTTGAACTCAGTAGAGCCGCCGCGCGCGCGAACGAGCTCGAAGTCCGGCACGAGGGTATCCACGAGGCTCTTGCTCTCCAGGTCCCAGATCTTAATCGACGACTGCGTGGCGGCGCACAGCCAGTAGCGGTTCGGCGAGAAGCAGAGCGAGTGGATGATGTCGCCCGCGTCGAGCGAGTACAGCCGCTTGCCCTCCGCCAGGTCCCACAGCATCGCCACGCCGTCCTTTCCGCCGGACGCGCACAGCGAGCCGTCAGGGGAGACGGTCACGGTGTTGACGTAGCCGGTGTGCCCCAGCAGGTTCTGGCGGAGCTTGCAGTTGGTCAGGTTCCACACCTTCACCACCTGGGGGAGGGAGGGGGAAGATGGAGGAGAGGCGGCAGGGGCAAGGGGAGAGGGGCAAGCGGGGAGGGGACGGGGAGAAATGGTGGTGTTGATGGGTGCAGGTTCTGGCGGAGCTTGCAATTGTTCAGGCGGAATGGCGGGGGGAACGGCGGGCGGAAGGGGTGGGGGAAGGGAGAAGCAGGAAGCGAGAAGGGGGAAGGGAAGGGGGAAAAGAGAAGAGAAAGGGGAAGTGGAAGGGGAAAGGGAAAGTTGAAAGGGAAGGGGGGCGGAAGGAGGGGGGGATGGAGGAAAGAGGGCTGGGGGGAGGGGGGGGGAAAGAGGGGGACGTGGGTTGAAGGGTGGCGGGGTTGGGGTAGGTAGGGGAAGAGAGAGGTGCTGAAGGGAGAGGAAATGGAAAGGAGCAACAAGGATGAAAGGGGAGGAACAGAAGGGAAAGCAAGGAGGCCTCGATTGTTGGACGGGATGAGGAAAAAGGCGATCGAGCTTCGCGGCCCCACGTGACTGATGAGCCAACCCACCAAAATCTGATCGAGCTTCGACTCAGCGGCCCTATCGGACGGTTCTAACGCACATGCCGACAGCAGGAGGAGGCCGCCGACGGGCAAAGGGAGGGGCCGTTCCGCTAGCGCACAATCTAGCGCACAGATGCTTAGGAGGAAACTACGGGACCTGCAATCCCCATAACCCAACTTGGCGGGAGGTACGTAATCCAGGTACCTTGCGACAGCCGCCCAAGGAGCCTAATACCCGTCGCCTAGCAAACCTGGGAATTCCTCAGCTGGCCAACAACCTGATCCCCAACGACCACCGAACCTAATCTTAACCGCACAACGAACCTTGTCCCAGCCGGCGGAGACGATAATGGGCTGAGTGTTGACGGGCGAGAAGCGCACGCACGACACCCACCCCTGGTGCGCGTCCGCGTCGTTCATCGTGTACTTGCACTCGCCCAGCGTGTTCCACAGCTTGATGCTGCGATCGCGCGACCCGGACACGATCTGACGGTTGTCGACGCTGAAGGCGACGCTGAGAACGTCCTTGGTGTGGCCGACGAAGCGGCGCGTGGTGGCGCCGGTGTTGAGGTCCCACAGGCGGAGAGTGCTGTCCCACGAGCCAGAGAGGGCGAACTGACCGTCGGATGAGATCACGACGTCCTGTTGTACGCGTTACAGGGTGAGTGTGGGGAAAACGGGAAGGGAGGCCGGAATCAGAATGCGCTGGTGTTAAGATTCCACAAGCCGGAGAGCGCTAACTGACCATCGAGAGGACTAGCGTACGCGTTATAATGGGTGACTGGAGACGACGTGAATAAACGCCCGACAGGGAAGAGGGTGCTGGCAAATGCGGGATGACTGTCGATGAATGGCGACCACACACTATCCAAAAATCTAGAAGCAATCCGCGAATACGAATGTCAGCCTCGATGAGTTACTAATTTACTCGGCAAGAAATCACACCACACGGGCTCTTTTTCGCAAACGAGCGCAAGGCTAGCTCAGCACAACACCAGCAATTTTTAGATCCAATAACGGACCGAAAATTGCACGGTTCGCGCCGGGAGACCGAGAATCTACAGTGGAACGCAGCTGCATGAAACGTCCGTGAAATAAAAATGAACCTAAAAGATTCGAATCTTCACCTGCACGAAACCGCCGTGGCCGGTGAGGCGGCGCTTGGGCACACCGGCGAGCTGCACGCCCGTGGCGGAGGCGGCGTCGCGAGTGAGCGACCACGACATGATGCCCTTATCGCGCGAGCATGAGATAATAGAATCGCTGTTGTCGATCGGGCACGCGATCGACGTGACCCAGTCGGAGTGGCCCTTGAGGTGGCCGCGGAAGCTAAGTTGCTCACCCATGGCGGCGAGTTAGGAGACAGAGAGGAGAGAGGACGGAGAAGAGAATAAAGGGCGAAAAGAGAATTAGGGTTTGCAGAACGGCTGCTAAGAAGGCGGCGACTAGCGGAGGGAGAGAAAGAGGGCGAGTGAGAGGTGAAGGGGAGAAGAAAAGGGAGCGGGGAAAAGGGAATGGGGAACGTGGGGAAGAGAAGGAGGCGCGCGGTATGCGGTTGCAGCTAAAGAAAGGGGGTGCGGTGGCGCCAGGCGGAGATTCTGGGGAGGTTGCGCGAGGTAGAGGGCAACTGCGATACTAAAAACTTCGCTAGAGCCAATACACCTCTGTCCGATACCCTTTTAAACTTTCTCTACAATTGAGGTATGCAGAAAACAAGTTGACGTATTCTGCTGATACACGGTTCGCTGGTTTGATCGGAGATGAAATGTTTATAGCGGGAAAACCTATCTGCGGAAAACGACGTGGCAGTCCCTTCCATGTGGCAGCGTGTGTGGCTCACAGTCCCCCGAAATCATCCCTGCCCAGCTCCGATTCCCACCACCACGGCCCATCCCATCCCATCCCATCCCAAGCTGCTTCTGTTTGTCGCAGCGCAGTGCAATTCGTATGCCTTGCTTTGCCCTCCTTGCTGCTGCTTTTCACTTTCACTTCTCCCTTTTCCGTTCGGAGGCCATCCGACGGTGTGCTTTTCCTGACCTAGCTCGCTTCCGAGCCGCAACGACAGACGTGACGTGAACCCATGGCTTCCGCCACGCTCCTTCCGGCTGCGGCCAACCTCAAGGTACCCTCCCGCCGAACCTAAGGGACATCATTGCATCGTTGTCTGATGTCTCTTCTCGAACGCTGCCGCCTTCCCTCTCATTGTTGACAAATGTCGATCGTTCTCATCCCGCGCTCCCATTCTCGCCGTTCATTCCCATTTCCCCCGCCGTGTCCCCATTCGCCGTTCATTCTCATTCGCCTCGCCGCTCCCCCGCGCAGGTCAGCGGGCTGTGCGCGTCCCAGACTCGCCTCGCCTCGTCCGCTGCATCCCTGGCAGGATCCAAGCCTCAAGGTACTCGCTCTAAGGTACTCGCTTTAAGAAACTCGTCTCAAGGTATTCATTCTGAGGAACTCACGCAGTCTGTTCCTGAGATCCCCAGTCGGCTGGCTCTCTATTGCGTACCTTAGGTGGCGTATCTTAGGTGGGTGCCGATTCTTCGCGAATGGTCCTCGTACGTGGTCTAATGGCCTTGCGCCGTCGCGCACTTCCGTCCCCTTGCCCTTCGTGCCCTGCTCCATTGCCCGTCGCCGTGACCCGCACAGCCCAGACCGGCCTTCGTCGCGTCGCTGCTGCCTCCGCCGCCCGCGCATCCGCCGCAGCCGAAACGTCTGCGGTGCCGCCCGCATGGCCGGGGCGCGCCGAGGCGCCGGCGAATCCGCACGACTGGGCCGAGCCGAAGGCGATCTCGCTGATTGGATCGACCGGGTCTATCGGCACTCAGGTGAGACACGTGGCAGTCAGGTGAGACACGTGGCACTCAAATGAGACACGCGGCAGTCAGGTGGGACACGCGGCAGTCAAGTGAGACACGTGGCACTCAGGTGGCACGCGAAGGACTTGGCTAGGGAACATATTGTTATATATAAAAAAAGCAAAGACTGGGTTGGGGCAACTTGCACCATTTTCTGGGTTATTATACATTTCCTCTTCCTTCAAACCTTCCTCCCCGCTCTCTCCTCCCCCACCACCCCCTCCACTCGTGTTGTATTCTCTTCAACCCATTTTCCCCCTCTCTCTTTCTCTCGTTTTTTCCCCTCCTCGCACGTCCCCGCTACCTCGTGCGTGCGGGCGGCAGACTTTGGACATAGTGGCGGAGCATCCCGACAGGTTCAAGGTCGTTGCGCTCGCCGCCGGCTCCAACATCGCTCTCCTGGCGCAGCAGGTGCGCGCGCATGGGGTAACAGATGCGCGTGGCGCACCAGGTGCGCAAGCATGGTGCAGCAGGTGTGCAAGCATAGCGGAACAGGTGCGCTTGCATGGCGCAGCAGGTGCGCGTGACTTTCCCTCCCTTCTCTCACTCACCTCACACTACTTACTTACTTCCTCCCTCCTCTCTCTCTCCGTACCCTCTCCTGCCCTCCTCTCATCCCTCACCCCCTCCCGCCATTCTCCCGTGTCCCCCCCAACCTGCGCCGTTCCCCCGTGCGCGCGGAGCAGGTGCGCCAGTTCCAGCCTTCACTGGTGTCGGTGCAGAACCCCGCGCTGGTGGCGCACCTCCTCTCAAACCTCACTCTCCTTCATTCCTCAATCCCCCCGCACTCTCGCCCGTCGAGCAGGTGCGCCAGTTCCAGCCGGCGCTGGTGTCGGTGCAGAACCCCGCGCTGGTGGGGGAGCTCAAGGAGGCGCTCGCGGGGATGGAGCGCCTGCCGGAGATCGTGGCGGGGGACTCGGGGATTGACGAGGTGAGTGAGGGGTGGGCATGGAGGAGAAATTGTGGAGTAGAAGAGTTGGGGGTAGGGGGAGGCGCTCGCGGGGGCATGGCGCTCATGCCGGAGATCGTGGCGGGGGACTCGGGGATTGACGAGGTGAGTGGGGTGTGGGCATGGAGGAGAAATTGTGAAGTAGAAGAGTTGGGGGTAGGGGGAGGCGCTCGCGGGGGCATGGCGCTCATGCCGGAGATCGTGGCGGGGGACTCGGGGATTGACGAGGTGAGTGGGGTGTGGGCAAGGCAGAAGGTGAAGTAGGGTTAGGGAGGAGAAGAGGTGATGGTAGGGAGAGGCGTCCGCGGGCATGGCGCTCATGCCGGAGATCGTGGCGGGGGACTCGGAGATCGTGGAGGTGAGGCGGGGGGAATGGCGCTCGCGGGGGGTAAGAGGTGGGGGGGGTAGGATGGGGCGCTCGCGGGGGCATGGCGCGCATGCCGGAGATCGTGGCGGGGGACTCGGAGATCGTGGAGGTGAAAAAGGGGTCACGACTCACGGGCAATGTGGGGTGCGCGGGACTTTCGAGGCGTCTCAAAAGTGTGCTTCACGTGTGCTCCATGTGTGCCGTGCCCCACGTGTGCCCCACGTGTGCCCCGTGTGTGCTGATGATCATGCAGGTGGCGCGGCATCCTGACGCGGAGACAGTGGTGACGGGCATTGTGGGGTGCGCGGGACTCAAGGTACGTTGGCTGGGGGCAGGCTGTGTTGGGCGGGTGACTGACTGACTGTAGCCCGCTGTGATGAGCTTTCATGTGGGAGGAGGCGCGCATGGGTGTGCGCTCTGCTGCGCCACTCCCGCCCGTTCTGCCGATGTTTCTCACTGCTAGTCTATATGCCTATGTGCTTGTACATGTACACGTGCATGTGCATGTGCATGTGCATGTGCGTGTGCATGTGCATGTGCATGTGCATGTGCATGTGCATGTGTATGTGCATGCAGCCGACAGTGGCGGCCATAGAGGCGGGCAAGGACATCGCTCTGGGCAACAAGGAGACGCTCATTGCGGGCGGGCCGTACGTGCTGCGCTGCCACATGTGAATATAGAGTCTGACTATGTGCCTATGTGTGCCTATGTGTGCCCATGTGCCCATGTGCCTATGTGCATGTGTGCGTACGTGACCATGAGTGCAGCCGACGGTGGCGGCCATAGAGGCGGGCAAGGACATCGCTCTGGCGAACAAGGAGACGCTCATTGCAGGCGGGCCGTACGTGCTGCCGCTCGCCAAGAAGCACGGCTGCCACATCCTGCCTGCTGACTCGGAGCACTCCGCCATCTTCCAGGTGCGCTCTCACCCACCCAAGCAACCAGCCAACTTGACTCCTAACCCCCCTACCCCCTCCCACTTTGACTACATTGAATTCGCCTTGATTCCTCCTGACCCTGCTTGGGAGACCATGTGAATATCCATTCCCCCCTCCCTCCCGCCTTTCCTTCCCCCTGTGTGTGCGGCAGTGCATCCAAGGTCTGCCAGAGGGTGGTCTGCGCCGCATCATCCTCACTGCCTCTGGTGGCGCCTTCAGGTGCGCCCTCACATGCCATACTAGACCCATACCACATGCCACGCTTTGTGATATGCCACTTGCCATGCCACATTCCACATGTCATGCCACATTCCATGTGTCATATCCATGCCGCGTCACATCTCATGCCAGAAGCCGTTCACCCTTCCTCTCTAACCCCCCTCCCCCACTTCCCCCCTCTTCTCCCCACCTCTCCTCTCCCTCAGGGACTGGCCGGTGGAGAAGCTCAAGGTGGTGACTTCAGCGGACGCGCTGAAGCACTGCTGCCTTGCTTCCTCCTACATGGCACTCTTCCCCCCTTCCTCATAGCCCTCCCCCTCTTCTCCCCACCTCTCCTCTCCCCCAGGGACTGGCCGGTGGGGAAGCTGAAGGAGGTGACCCCAGCGGACGCGTTGAAGCACCCCAACTGGAGCACGTGGTGCCGGCGATTATCCCAGCGCCTCAAGAATCGCACACCCCCCTTATTGCTCTACTCCCCACCCAACCCCCTCCCCCACACCCCCCACAACCATCCCCCCTTCCCCCTGTGGCAGGGACTGGCCGGTGGAGAAGCTGAAGGAGGTGACGCCAGCGGACGCGCTGAAGCACCCCAACTGGAGCATGGGGCGGAAGATTACCGTTGACTCTGCCACCCTTATGAACAAGGTGCGTGCATTGTGGGGGGCAGGACGCAGGGGCCAGGGGGGACAGGGAGGAGAGGGGTGCTGTGTGCATAAGGTCGGGCAAGGGGTGCGAGCAGGCATACACAGTCTAACAGAACACATGAGATGAATACTAGAATAAAGGGACTCGCGTGGCATGTGTAAGAGAGCAGGTGCTCAAGGGAATGTTGGTTACCAATGCACAGAGACAGGACAAGTCTATACCTCAGCGGTCCAATTTCGACTCACTCTTGTCATGTGTTCCTCCTGTCATGGGTCCACATGTGGGCCGGCCTGCAAGTGGCCCTCGACCCACCTGCAATCCTCTGCCTCCCTCGTGTGGTCCCCTGCTTGCCCTCCCCATCAACAGGGCCTGGAGGTGATAGAGGCGCACTACCTGTTTGGCGCGGACTATGACAACATTGACATTGTGATCCACCCACAGAGCATCATTCACTCCATGGTCGAGACTCAGGTGTGTGCGCGTTCCTTACTCTGTGGTGGAGACACAGGTGTGTTTGTGTTGCTCTCCTCACGTGATCCACCCTCAGAGCATCATCCACTCCATGGTCGAGACTCAGGTGTGTGCTTGGTGTGCCTCACTCACTCCCAAGGTTCAGTTCAGATACAGGTGTGTATGTGTTGCTCACCGACATCTTTGACATCATCATCTACCCACAGAGCATCGTCCACTCCATGGTCGAGACGCAGGTGGGCATGGCAGAGCTCGCTGTCTCTCTTTTGCTCTGCCTCCGCCCCTCTGCCTCCTCTCCACACATCTCATTCACTGTGTTTCTGCGTGGCATTGCACTCGCACTCGGCCCACATTGCATTCACTGTGTGTATCCTTGTGTTTCGATTCATTTCCAAACCTTTTTCCCCTCTCCACCCCCCCCTTCTTCCTCTTTTTTCTTCCCTCTGGCCTGCAGGATTCATCGGTGTTGGCGCAGCTGGGGTGGCCGGACATGCGTCTGCCCATCCTCTACACACTCTCCTGGCCCGATCGTGTGCCCACCTCTGAAGTCACCTGGCCGCGCCTCGACTTCATCAAGTGCTGCCCCCGCCCTCATTCCGCCATGCCCTCTTGCCCTCATGCGCACGCATATGCCCCTTTACCCCTCTTGTTTTACCATTCACCTGTCTTGTGCCTGCTTGGCCTTTATTCTGCCGCAACCACCATGTCACTCTTCTCGGCCCCTGCATTGCTTCCTGTGGTCCACTACCTCTTTCTTGCTCTAATCATTCGCTATGAGTCTCTCCTCTTGCCATTACATCACTTACCGTTTCCTCAACACCCATCTTCCCATTCCATCCCTGTGTTCTCCCCCACTCTTCCCCCTCTCCACCTTCTCAAATCACTGCAGGATGGTCGAATTGACATTCAGGGAGCCCAACCGTGACAAGTACCCGCCCATGGACCTCTCTTCTACACATTCTCTCACCGCATCCCTATTCTTTCCCTCATCGCCCCCCCCTCTGCAGGATGGGCGACCTGACCTTCAGGGAGCCCAACCGTGACAAGTACCCTTCCATGGACCTCTCATATGCTATCTCCCACTCCATCCCTCATCCATTCATTTTCCCACTCCCCTCTCGGCAGGATGGGAGACTTGACATTCAGGGAGCCCAACCGTGACAAGTACCCCTCCATGGACCTCTCATACGCAGCGGGACGGGCAGGTGGCACCATGACCGGCGTGCTGAGCGCTGCCAACGAGCAGGCCGTTGAAATGTTCCTTGATGACAAGTGAGTGGTGCAAGAATGGTGTCAAGAACCTGTCTATAGTCCTGTTGTATGGGGGGGAGGAGGGCGGGTGGCACCATGACTGGCATGCTGAGTGCCGCCAAAGAGCAGGCAGTGGAGATGTTCCTCGATGACAAGTGAGTGGCTTGATTTATCACAAGTAAGTTGAGAGGGAACTGGCACCATGACCGGCGTGCTGAGTGCTGCCAACTAGAAGGCAGTGGAAATGTTCCTCGATGACAAATGAGTGGCTTGACCATAATCAGGGAGTGAGAATTTACAGGCGAAGAGGATAGATGGGTGGTGTACCTCTCACATCATCCTCTCATTATGGCTGTCAAGCATGTTGTGCTATGCTCTTTGGCTGCTAGAAGCAAAAAAACTATCAGCTGAGGTGCCAAACTGGAATGCCTGTATGACCAACATTCCTCCCTCCTTCCATCCATCCTTCCCTCTCCCACGCTTCCCCTCTCCCTCCCTCTCCCTCCTCTCCCCCTCAGGATCCACTATCTGGACATCTGTCGGGTCATCGAGGGCACATGTGACCGCCACCGCAACGACCTCGTGCTCGCCCCGTCACTGGAGGACATTGTGCACTTCGACCAATGGGCTCGCGTCTACGCTGCTGAGGTGGCATCCAAGCTCAGCACTGTCTCTGTTTAGATCCGTGGTGCAAACCGGTTGCATTATTTAGTATTTACGTTCGTTGAGTTGGATATTTGACACTCCAAAGTAGTGTTTACTTGTAATCAGGATAGTTGAGTGTATATGTTTATCAAAGCCAGATGACCTATTTCTCTTACCAAAACGAACACGTTGTCTCCCCTCTGCCACTCGCCCACCTCGCACCGCACGCCTTCTGCTGATCCCAATTTTCGCCCCTCTGCTCCACCTACCCCAGCGAGCTAGTCAGCTGGCCTGATCACGATTACTCGACAGTTACGTCTGGAAGATACCCAGAAACACTCAAGATTCTTAGTCCGTGACGTTTCTACTCGCTCCTAGATTCAGGTTTAGAGTCTACAGGGCTGACCATTCCTAGTCGGGTAGTGAGCGTTGTCCGCCGACAGTCGTGATCGTGATCATCAGGGGGAGGGGAATGGAGAGGAGGTTAGTGGAGGTGGTGTGAGAGAAGACGCGCGCGCGGACGACGCTCCCGTGTGCGCCCTCGTCGGCTTCGTCGGCCTCGAAACTGCCGCGATCGCATCCCACGCGCGGAGCTCAGCATGCCTCCAGGTGCTTCCGGCTCTGATGCGGACGCTGCTGCCTTGTGTGCCTCAAGGCATTCCTCTCCCAGCAGCAACCCCCCTTTCCCAACCCCCCAGCTCATTCGCTCTTCCCCTGCTGCCTCTCACTTCTCACCTCCTCCCCCGTCGCCCGCCGTCGCCTGTCAGGTCCGGAGCGTCGCGTGGGCGGTCGCCTGCCGTATGGCTCGTCGCACGCCGCCATGTCGTACGGCGCGCCGTTCGTCGCCACCTCCGCGCCCAAGCCGGAGCAGCCCATTGCGCGCCAAGCGCCAGCCGCGGAACGATCGCGCGGCGACGGGCTCAGACGCCCCGCAAGGGTGGCGCGACGGGCGCGGATGGGGGGAGGAAGGGCGCAGCAGGGGGAGGGTTGCTGTGCGGGTGCTGCGCGTGGCTCGGCGCGCTGTGCGCGCGGCTGCGGCCGTCGCGGAAGGCGAACTGGCCGTACGCGTTAGTGAGCGTTGTGTTTGTGGCGCTGGTGGCCTCGGAGCAGATCGCCCCGCTGCTGCCCTCCACTGCCCGCGCACGGGGGGAGGCGCGCGCAGGGGGAGGCGCGGAGGAGGAGGCAGTGAGCGGACCGCTGACGCGGATGATGAGGTGAGGGGGAGGGGAGAGTAGGAAGGGGCGAGGGAGGAGTGGGGGGAAGGGGAGTGACAATGGGGAAGCGAGTGTGGGATAAGGAGGGCGAGAAGGGAGAGAGGGAGAGAGAGCAAGGGGAAGAAGAGTGCGATGCCCGATTGTTGCACTTTGCTCACTCGAGTGCCTCTTGGGTCGTTTCAAGCACCCTGTGGTTTGCCTGTGGCTGTGTGTGTGTGTGCGTGCGCGCGTGTGCTTGTATGTCTGCGTTTGTGGTTGTGTAAGTGAATTTGTGAGTGTGTGCGCTGCCATGTATGTCTACTTCCATGTGTGTATGTATGCATGCATGCATGTGAGCACGGAGCAGTGCCATGTGGGGGCGACCATCACCCACCACGCCCTTCAACGCCAGAAGCAACAGCAGAAACAGCAATCACAGCAGCAGAAGCAACAAGTTAGCAGGAGGGCCCAGGGACGCAGATGGAGGGGCAGGTGGAGGGTCAAGTGGAGGGTTGGGTGGAAGGGCGGGTGGAAAGGTGGGAGAAGCGGCAGGTGTGGCGGCGGAGGAGGAGTCAGTGGGGCGAGGGAGTGGCGGAGGGGGTGGGGAGGAGGAGGAATGCTCTGAGTGCTGGAAGGAGGTGGATCGGCTGAGAACACTCCGAGAGAGTGAGTGACGCCACATGTGTGTGCTGGTCGCTTGCCTTGCCTCCACCTGTCACTCGCCCATTCGCCCGGCCCACTCGCTATGATTGCTGTTGTCCTCCTCCTGCACACATTGACAAGGTGATTTTTGAGTCGACTCAAAAGTCACCTCTGCACATGTTGCGTCTTTCCCCATGTGTCTGGTCTCCTGTTTACGATTGTTCTCCTCTCGCTGCACGCCTCCACCTCGTACCCTCCCCCTCCCCCATGTGTGCATCACTTGGCGAGGCAGGAGCAACAGGCGCGCGCAGGCGGCTGCTGGTAGAGCCAGGAGGGACGGTGGAGGGGTTGCAAGCAGCGGTGGCAGCAGTGGAAGCGGAAATGGCGGCATTGAAAGCCAAGATGAGCGACCTGGCAGTGAGTGAGCGACCTGGCAGTGAGTGAGCTGCCGTGCTCCTTGTCTTGTGTGTGTGTCTCTCTCTTCATGCCCCGTGCCCTCTTGCTTCTCCCGCATCCCTCTCCTTCTCTCCTCCTCGTGCCCTCCCTCTTTCCCCTCTCTGCCTGATACCCTCGCTTCCTCCATCCATCCCTCTCTCCCTCTCGCCCTCTCTGTCCCTCTCCATCCTCACGTGCACAGGTAGCAACAGAGCAGATGGCAAGGGAGGCGGGCAACTTGCGGGCGGTGTTGCAGGGCGAGGGGCACTGGGCTACAGCAAACCTCACCCGCCACGTAAGCACCACAACTCACATGATTTTCTCGCACTGATTCAAAGCTACCCAGTGGTGCAGGGCGAGGGACGCTGGGCCACGGCCAACCTCACCCGCCACGTACGGAAATTTCTGTGATTTTCTTGCAGGGCGCATTCCATAAGAAGGATGGAGGGAAAGAGATGATTGTTGAGTCGATTTAAAAGCTACCCAGTGTTGCAGGGCGAGGGGCACTGGCCCACAGCCAACCTCACCCGCCATATACCTCCCATTGTGATGAGTCGATTTTTGAGTCGACTAAAAAATTGACCGCACCATATCGTGTGTGTTTTGAATCAACTAAACTATCCACCATGACACTTGTGACATCCGCGCGGCACTTGCCACAAGCATCTCTCTCCCTGTGCTGCTTCTGTATTTCTCCACGCTGCCACCACACTTAACCTCACTCCACCGCCCAACCACTTATTGCATTGCGTCTGCTGGCCTGCGTGTCCTGCACTCATTCCGTACAAGCCTTCTTTCCAATCACACAGACTGTCTAGAGGCGCTAGTCATGCCAATTCGTGCCAATCTCTAGTGCCCACTCTCTCCCTATCTTCAGTCTCTCCCACCCCCCCCCCCCCCCCCCCCCCTCTCCAGTTCCTGCACTCCACGGCGCCCTCTCACCCCGACCGCTGTGCCGTGCTTTCTCTCGACCGACGAGCGCTGCAGCGGCAGTCCAAGCGTGGTCCCAAGGGCCCGCCTCTCTCCTGGAAGGTCAGTTCAGGTGCTGCCCCACCCTGCCCCACCCAGCACCACCCAGCCCCACCCACCCCGACCGCTGTGCCGTGCTTTCTCTCGACCGACGAGCGCTGCAGCGGCAGTCCAAGCGTGGTCCCAAGGGCCCGCCTCTCTCCTGGAAGGTCAGTTCAGGTGCTGCCCCACCCTGCCCCACCCAGCACCACCCAGCCCCACCCACCCCGACCGCTGTGCCGTGCTTTCTCTCGACCGACGAGCGCTGCAGCGGCAGTCCAAGCGTGGTCCCAAGGGCCCGCCTCTCTCCTGGAAGGTCAGTTCAGGTGCTGCCCCACCCTGCCCCACCCAGCACCACCCAGCCCCACCCACCCCGACCGCTGTGCCGTGCTTTCTCTCGACCGACGAGCGCTGCAGCGGCAGTCCAAGCGTGGTCCCAAGGGCCCGCCTCTCTCCTGGAAGGTCAGTTCAGGTGCTGCCCCACCCTGCCCCACCCAGCACCACCCAGCCCCACCCACCCCGACCGCTGTGCCGTGCTTTCTCTCGACCGACGAGCGCTGCAGCGGCAGTCCAAGCGTGGTCCCAAGGGCCCGCCTCTCTCCTGGAAGGTCAGTTCAGGTGCTGCCCCACCCTGCCCCACCCAGCACCACCCAGCCCCACCCACCCCGACCGCTGTGCCGTGCTTTCTCTCGACCGACGAGCGCTGCAGCGGCAGTCCAAGCGTGGTCCCAAGGGCCCGCCTCTCTCCTGGAAGGTCAGTTCAGGTGCTGCCCCACCCTGCCCCACCCAGCACCACCCAGCCCCACCCACCCCGACCGCTGTGCCGTGCTTTCTCTCGACCGACGAGCGCTGCAGCGGCAGTCCAAGCGTGGTCCCAAGGGCCCGCCTCTCTCCTGGAAGGTCAGTTCAGGTGCTGCCCCACCCTGCCCCACCCAGCACCACCCAGCCCCACCCACCCCGACCGCTGTGCCGTGCTTTCTCTCGACCGACGAGCGCTGCAGCGGCAGTCCAAGCGTGGTCCCAAGGGCCCGCCTCTCTCCTGGAAGGTCAGTTCAGGTGCTGCCCCACCCTGCCCCACCCAGCACCACCCAGCCCCACCCACCCCGACCGCTGTGCCGTGCTTTCTCTCGACCGACGAGCGCTGCAGCGGCAGTCCAAGCGTGGTCCCAAGGGCCCGCCTCTCTCCTGGAAGGTCAGTTCAGGTGCTGCCCCACCCTGCCCCACCCAGCACCACCCAGCCCCACCCACCCCGACCGCTGTGCCGTGCTTTCTCTCGACCGACGAGCGCTGCAGCGGCAGTCCAAGCGTGGTCCCAAGGGCCCGCCTCTCTCCTGGAAGGTCAGTTCAGGTGCTGCCCCACCCTGCCCCACCCAGCACCACCCAGCCCCACCCACCCCGACCGCTGTGCCGTGCTTTCTCTCGACCGACGAGCGCTGCAGCGGCAGTCCAAGCGTGGTCCCAAGGGCCCGCCTCTCTCCTGGAAGGTCAGTTCAGGTGCTGCCCCACCCTGCCCCACCCAGCACCACCCAGCCCCACCCACCCCGACCGCTGTGCCGTGCTTTCTCTCAACCGACGAGCGCTGCAGCGGCAGTCCAAGCGCGGCCCCAAGGGCCGCCACTCTCCTGGAAGGTAAGCACATACAGTCCACCCACCCCACCTCACCCAGCCACTACCGACGCCACTAGCAGCCACTAGCAGCCACTAGCAGCCACTAGCAGCCACTAGCAGCCACTAGCAGCCACTAGCAGCCACTAGCAGCCACTAGCAGCCACTAGCAGCCACTAGCAGCCACTAGCAGCCACTAGCAGCCACTAGCAGCCACTAGCAGCCACTAGCAGCCACTAGCAGCCACTAGCAGCCACTAGCAGCCACTAGCAGCCACTAGCAGCCACTAGCAGCCACTAGCAGCCACTAGCAGCCACTAGCAGCCACTAGCAGCCACTAGCAGCCACTAGCAGCCACTAGCAGCCACTAGCAGCCACTAGCAGCCACTAGCAGCCACTAGCAGCCACTAGCAGCCACTAGCAGCCACTAGCAGCCACTAGCAGCCACTAGCAGCCACTAGCAGCCACTAGCAGCCACTAGCAGCCACTAGCAGCCACTAGCAGCCACTAGCAGCCACTAGCAGCCACTAGCAGCCACTAGCAGCCACTAGCAGCCACTAGCAGCCACTAGCAGCCACTAGCAGCCACTAGCAGCCACTAGCAGCCACTTCCAGCCACTAGCAGCCACTACCAGCCACTACCAGCCACTACCAGCCACTAGCAGCCACTAGCAGCCACTAGCAGCCACTAGCAGCCACTAGCAGCCACTAGCAGCCACTAGCAGCCACTAGCAGCCACTAGCAGCCACTAGCAGCCACTAGCAGCCACTAGCAGCCACTAGCAGCCACTAGCAGCCACTAGCAGCCACTAGCAGCCACTAGCAGCCACTAGCAGCCACTAGCAGCCACTAGCAGCCACTAGCAGCCATTACCAGCCACTAGCAGCCACTAGCAGCCACTAGCAGCCACTAGCAGCCACTAGCAGCCACTAGCAGCCACTAGCAGCCACTAGCAGCCACTAGCAGCCACTAGCAGCCACTAGCAGCCACTAGCAGCCACTAGCAGCCACTAGCAGCCACTAGCAGCCACTAGCAGCCACTAGCAGCCACTAGCAGCCACTTCCAGCCACTAGCAGCCACTACCAGCCACTACCAGCCACTACCAGCCACTACCAGCCACTAGCAGCCACTAGCAGCCACTAGCAGCCACTAGCAGCCACTAGCAGCCACTAGCAGCCACTAGCAGCCACTAGCAGCCACTAGCAGCCACTAGCAGCCACTAGCAGCCACTAGCAGCCACTAGCAGCCACTAGCAGCCACTAGCAGCCACTAGCAGCCACTAGCAGCCACTAGCAGCCACTAGCAGCCACTAGCAGCCACTAGCAGCCACTAGCAGCCACTTGCAGGCACTAGCAGCCACTAGCAGCCACTAGCAGCCACTAGCAGCCACTAGCAGCCACTAGCAGCCACTAGCAGCCACTAGCAGCCACTAGCAGCCACTAGCAGCCACTAGCAGCCACTAGCAGCCACTAGCAGCCACTAGCAGCCACTAGCAGCCACTAGCAGCCACTAGCAGCCACTAGCAGCCACTAGCAGCCACTAGCAGCCACTAGCAGCCACTAGCAGCCACTAGCAGCCATTACCAGCCACTAGCAGCCACTAGCAGCCACTAGCAGCCACTAGCAGCCACTAGCAGCCACTAGCAGCCACTAGCAGCCACTAGCAGCCACTAGCAGCCACTAGCAGCCACTAGCAGCCACTAGCAGCCACTAGCAGCCACTAGCAGCCACTAGCAGCCACTAGCAGCCACTAGCAGCCACTAGCAGCCACTAGCAGCCACTAGCAGCCACTAGCAGCCACTAGCAGCCACTAGCAGCCACTAGCAGCCACTAGCAGCCACTAGCAGCCACTAGCAGCCACTAGCAGCCACTAGCAGCCACTAGCAGCCACTAGCAGCCACTAGCAGCCACTAGCAGCCACTAGCAGCCACTAGCAGCCACTAGCAGCCACTAGCAGCCACTAGCAGCCACTAGCAGCCACTAGCAGCCACTAGCAGCCACTAGCAGCCACTAGCAGCCACTAGCAGCCACTAGCAGCCACTAGCAGCCACTAGCAGCCACTAGCAGCCACTAGCAGCCACTAGCAGCCACTAGCAGCCACTAGCAGCCACTAGCAGCCACTAGCAGCCACTAGCAGCCACTAGCAGCCACTAGCAGCCACTAGCAGCCACTAGCAGCCACTAGCAGCCACTAGCAGCCACTAGCAGCCACTAGCAGCCACTAGCAGCCACTAGCAGCCACTAGCAGCCACTAGCAGCCACTAGCAGCCACTAGCAGCCACTAGCAGCCACTAGCAGCCACTAGCAGCCACTAGCAGCCACTAGCAGCCACTAGCAGCCACTAGCAGCCACTAGCAGCCACTAGCAGCCACTAGCAGCCACTAGCAGCCACTAGCAGCCACTAGCAGCCACTAGCAGCCACTAGCAGCCACTAGCAGCCACTAGCAGCCACTAGCAGCCACTAGCAGCCACTAGCAGCCACTAGCAGCCACTAGCAGCCACTAGCAGCCACTAGCAGCCACTAGCAGCCACTAGCAGCCACTAGCAGCCACTAGCAGCCACTAGCAGCCACTAGCAGCCACTAGCAGCCACTAGCAGCCACTAGCAGCCACTAGCAGCCACTAGCAGCCACTAGCAGCCACTAGCAGCCACTAGCAGCCACTAGCAGCCACTAGCAGCCACTAGCAGCCACTAGCAGCCACTAGCAGCCACTAGCAGCCACTAGCAGCCACTAGCAGCCACTAGCAGCCACTAGCAGCCACTAGCAGCCACTAGCAGCCACTAGCAGCCACTAGCAGCCACTAGCAGCCACTAGCAGCCACTAGCAGCCACTAGCAGCCACTAGCAGCCACTAGCAGCCACTAGCAGCCACTAGCAGCCACTAGCAGCCACTAGCAGCCACTAGCAGCCACTAGCAGCCACTAGCAGCCACTAGCAGCCACTAGCAGCCACTAGCAGCCACTAGCAGCCACTAGCAGCCACTAGCAGCCACTAGCAGCCACTAGCAGCCACTAGCAGCCACTAGCAGCCACTAGCAGCCACTAGCAGCCACTAGCAGCCACTAGCAGCCACTAGCAGCCACTAGCAGCCACTAGCAGCCACTAGCAGCCACTAGCAGCCACTAGCAGCCCCACCCCGACCGCTGTGCCGTGCTTTCTCTCGACCGACGAGCGCTGCAGCGGCAGTCCAAGCGCGTTCCCAATGGCCCGCCTCTCTCCTGGAAGGTCGGTGCAACTCCATCCTCCCCCAACCGGCCACGCGCAGCCCAAGTTGCGTGACCAGCCCATCTCTCTGCTGCTTCAGATATGTGTACAGACTGCTTGTGAGGCGCCTCTAAACTCATCTCTTTGCTATGTCAGAGTGACTCTTGAGAATTCTCACAAGCTCCCCCGTAGAACCACAGGGCTACGCATGTGAGGCGGCACCATCGCAAATTCAGAGGTACACGGACGTGGAGGCGAGGGTGCTGTGTCCTGTCACCTGGTTCTTCGTGCAAGAGCTCGTGTTTCTGAGGAACCCTCTCCACCCCATTCACACATTCGTGACCCCAACAGGGGTCAGTGCAACCCACACCCATGTTGCGTCACCCAACACCACTTGCTGCTGCATTAAACACGGACGGGCTTTTAGGCCCTTCAAAAATAACGTATAAGCCCACAGGGAGCCTCCGCTCTCCTCCGCCCATCCTTCTTGCAACCCCCTGCACCCCTCTCCACGCCTCTCCACCCCCATCCATCCGCTGCACAGTCCTGTTACGGCAGGCTATGCCTGTGAGGCAGCATCGTCTCAGATCCAGAAGTACACAGACGTGAAGGCGAGGGCACCATGCCCCGATGACTGGTTTCAGATTAGCTGTTTCGGAGGCACTTTTAAGAGCTCTCACAAGCCCTCCCCCCCCTCAAAAATAGCACCATCGTCTCAGATCCAGAAGTACACAGACGTGGAGGCAAGGGCGATGTGCTCCGATGACTGGTTCTTCGTGAAAGAGCTCGCCTTCCTTATCCCTGCCACCCCTTTGCACCACCCTGCACCCCATCCCCTTTGTACGGCAGGGCTATGCATGTGAGGCGGCGCCATCACAAATTCAGCGATACACAGACGTGGAGGCAAGAGCGCTGTGTCCCGATGACTGGTTCTTCTTGCAAGAGCTCGTGTTTCATTAAAAATGCTTTGCCCTGTGATGCCTGCAACTCCCTTCACCCCCCTGCACCCCCGTCCACCCCCTGCACACACGCTGCACGGCAGGGTTACGCATGCGAGGCAGCACCGTCTCAAATTCAGCGATACACGGACGTGGAGGCAAGGGCACTGTGTCCCGATGACTGGTTCTTCGTGCAAGAGCTCGCCTTCCTTAACCCTGCCACCCCCCTGCACCCCAATGCATCCCCTTTGTACGGCAGGGCTATGCATGTGAGGCGGCACCTTCACAGATTCAGCGATACACAGACGTGGAGGCGAGGGCGCTGTGTCCCGATGACTGGTTCTTCGTACAAGAGCTCGTGTTCCAAGAAAGCCCTCCACCCGCCCTGCACACCCCCTGCACCCCTCTGCCCCCCCCTCCACCCCCTGCGCACACCCGTTACTGCAGGGCTACACATGCGAGGCGGCGCCTTCACAAATCCAGCGATACACAGACGTGGAGGCAAGAGCGCTGTGTCCCGATGACTGGTTCTTCGTACAAGAGCTCGTGTTTTTGAAAAACTGCTTTGCCCTGCCAACCCGCCGCTGCCTTGCGCGCACGCCACAGCAACCCACAGAGGTGAGAGATGCAAAAGGAAGGAAGGTTTGGGCGGTTGATGCAAAAGGTGCGTTGAGGTGATAGGTGGGTAGTGGATGGGAGGTGGGAGGTGGGGGATAGGAGGGGAGAAAGGGGAGGTGCGCTTGGTGTGAGTATGACAGCAGCAGCACTTGGCTCAAGCGGTTGTGCAATAAGGAAAGGCCTCAGGGCCGCCGTACCAGATCAGAACGTTTCATCTCTCATCACCACCATCCACCTCACCCCTCTCCCTTTCATTCCCCGTTCAATTTATCCCTTTCTCCCTTCCCCCGTCCCCTAGCCACTACCGTTCCCGCAATCCCTATTCGACCAAGCCGCACTGGTGGACGGGGGGGTGCGGTGGGAGCAGCAGCAGTGCGGCTCATTCCACTGCCTCAACACGCGAGCACTGGGCGACTGTCGCAACTGCTTCAACCTCTCACTCGAGAGCCACCGCTGGCAGCACCGCTTCCGAGGCAACCCCACCATGCAGGACGTGATGCAACTCAAAAACGGCTCCCTTAGGTGCGCACAGCCTTTCGTGGCCACGTTTTGAGACGTCTCAAAGGCAATCCCACCATGCCGGACGCGCTTCTCTTGAAGAACGGCACCCTCAGGTCCGTTGAATCTGGAACCACTCTCCCAGGTGCACACTTGCCCATCGTAGCAGCTTCTTGAGACGTCTCAAAAGTCCACCCCACCATGCAGGACGTGTTGCAACGAAAAAATGGCTCCCTCAGGTGCGCTGGACTACTTGCGTTGCATGCTACTTCCTGTGCAGAACCCTATTATCCCACTGCTTGCCAACACACATGCTACCTGACCTTAGTAATGGTAATGGTAATGGTTGTGGTAATGGTAATGGTAATGGTAATGGTAATGGTAGTGGTAGTGGTAATGGTAATGGTAGTGGTAATGGTAATGGTAATGGTAATGGTAATAGTAATGGTTCTGGTAATAGTAATGGTAATGATAATGGTAATGGTAGTGGTAATGGTAATGGTAATGGTAATGGTAATGGTAATTGTTGTTGTAATGGTAATGGTAATGGTTGTTGTAATGGTAATGGTAGTGGTAACGGTAATGGTAATGGTAATGGTAATGGTGATGGTAATGGTAATGGTTTTGGTAATGGGAATGGTTTTGGTAATGGTAATGGTAATGGTAATGGTTGTTGTAATGGTAATGGTAATGGTAATGGTAATGGTAGTGGTAATGGTAATGATAATGGTAATGGTAATGGTAAAGGTTGTTGTAATGGTAATGGTAGTGGTAATGGTAATAGTTGTGGTAACGGTAAAGGTAATGGTTGTTGTAATGGTAATGGTAATAGTTGTGGTAATGGTAGTGGTAATGATAATGGTTGTTGTAATGGTAATGGTTGTGGTAATGGTAATGGTAATAGTTGTGGTAACGGTAATGGTAATGGTAATGGTAATAGTATTGGTAGCTTTGCAATGCAATGGTGTGGCACGGGGTGACAGTGATGACCACAGCCATGAAGTACGAGACCGTTTCAGCAGGCAACGTCCCTTGTGTATGTCTAAAGTGTCTCACACCAATGTATACTTCCTTGCCTTGATGCCTGCTGCAGGTTGGGGCTGGACGTGGGGGGTGGCACGGGGAGCTTCGCAGCGCACATGGCACGGCACGGGGTGACGGTGATGACCACAGCCATGAACTGCGAGACCGTGTCGGCTCTTGAGTCAACCCAAGAACCGTGTCAGCAGGCAGCGTCCCTTTTGTGTGTTTGAAGTGCCTCACTTCTATATTTTCTTCCGTGCCTTGATACCTGCCGCAGGCTGGGACTCGATGTGGGGGGTGGCACGGGGAGCTTTGCAGCGCACATGGCACGGCACGGGGTGACGGTGATGACCACAGCCATGAACTACGAGACCGTGTCGGGAAGGCATGCAGGGCTGCCCTACTTTGAAGCCATCGCCATGCGCGGCCTCATCCCGCTCTTCCTCCCCCATAAGGTAATAATGTGCCTTCTCCTTCACAAAGTTCCTCCCACATTAGTTGCCTCCCTCAGAGATGCGTCTTCTTAAGTCGACTGAATACAATTGTATCTGCATGTGATGAGGCGAACTGTGAGTCGGGTGCGAGACCGTGTCGGGGCACCATGCCGAAGTGCCCTACTTTGAAGCCATTGCCATGCGTGGCCTCATCCCCCTCTTCCTTCCCCAAACGGTTCAGTGTCCCCAGCTCTGTCTCACCACAACCCTCCATTGAGTCTTGCTTGAAGCTACCAACCCTGTGCCAGCCCATTCCCATGGCCTCTGCTCCCTGCTTTTCTTGCCCTCGCTCCCCATACTTATTCATGTCACTACTTGCAGTTCCCATGCCCTATCTGCCTGTGCCACCGTTAACCAGTGTCTTCCATTGAGTCTTGCTTGAGGCTTCGTGGCATCCCCCGCTACCAGGCGAGGCTACCCTTCTACGACAACAGATAGGACGTGCTTCACAGTGTGAACATCGTTGTCAAGTACATGCCCTTACCCATGCCTGTGGGCCCCGACTGTGTCTCTGTGCCTTCATCCCCCTACCAGGCACGTCTACCCTTCTACGACAACACATTGGATGTGATTCACAGTGTGAACAGTGTCAAGTACATGCCCGTGCCATTTCCCGTGTCCTGCCTCCTCTGTGTCTTCCCTCTTACCAGGCCCGTCTACCATTCTACGACAACACACTAGACGTGATTCACAGTGTGAACAGTGTCAAGTACATGCCCCTGGTGGAGTTTGAGGAGCTCGTTTTTGAATGGGACCGCGTGCTCAGACCAGGTCAGTGCCTCTCCTGACGCTCCGACAGGTCAGGACCCCCCTTGCTCAGGCCACAGTGTGAACAGCACCCGTGATCGAGTTTGCAGAGCCCGTCTTTGAGTGGGACCGCGTGGTCATTGAGAGGTGATTGAGCCCCTCCCATTTGCAGACCTGGTCAAGCCCTTGCAGCAGCCCAACCTACCGCGCCTGCATTGCCTGCACCCACAACCAGCAAGTGAACCCCAACGAGCCGTGTGCTGTGCTCATCGCATGCTTGAACAAGCCCGTCTTATCGTGCTCACTTCCTTCCCTCGTCTCGCACAAAACCCACCCCACCCCCTGTCCCCCAGGCGGCCTCATGTGGTTTGAGATGTTCTACGCACCGGTAGATGACATGGTGCTGTATGTGGCCGTGCTACAGCAGCTGAGATACCGCCGCCTGCACTGGACGCTCATGCCCAAGCCCGACCGCGGGGAGATAGAGGCCCACCAGCTCTACTTGAACTGCGTTATTGAGAAACCTGCTAGGCGAAATGCGCTCAAACCTGTTGAGTTTATATGAGCATGTCTTCCTGCTGTGCTTTGAGTTGGTTCTTAATTCACAAGCTCGAGTTTGCGCACAGGCCACATCAGCCCAGGCCAAAGCCAGCCAAGGCAAGCAGGTCAGAGCAGGCCAGAGCAGAGCACCGTGAGTTGCTGAGGTTTGCCACCTGTGCATGGCAGCTTTGCAATTCTCCACCGTGGCTATAGTGGTCAGGTGTGCTGCAGAATGTGGGGAGAGCTGCTGCTGTTGGCATGTGTTTTTCCAGCTGACCAGTAATCTCTGCCGTCATTTTCCTGAATGTCTGCGCCATTCTAACAATATGAACTGGAACATCCACAAACGTCAATCCGGCGGATTTCCCACCCACGTCACTCTTCCTACCCAGGTCATTCTGCTCCGCGCCACAATGCCACTCTAGAAATCACTCCATATTCACTCTACTATACGCTTATCACCCCCCCGCCACAGCTATGACGAGTACAGCTTCGTGATCCTCCTTGCTGCCTCCTCAATATTCGCACGGTTACCAAACGCACTCGCACGCACGAACCCCTCCCCGCCAGGCCCAAACCCGCTCCCAGGCGTGGTGACAATATCAGCCTTCTCCAGAATCTCAGCAAAAACATCCCAGGAGGAACGCCCAGGGAAGCGCACCCACACGTACGGCGCGTTGTCCCCTCCGTGCGTCTCAAAGCCCAGCGACTGGAACGTGGACTTGAGGATAGCTGCGTTTTCCTTGTAGAATGATACCAGCGATGCCATGGCCTCGAGGCCCTCAGGGGAAAGGCATGCGAGGCCTCCTGCCTGGGAGACGTTGCTGGCGCCATTGAAGCACGTGCAGGTGACTCGGTTGAAGTCCGCGCGCACTGGGTGGCCGTCTGCGTAGCGCAGCGCTGCTGGGACGACGGACCAGCCGAGACGCACCCCGGTGAAGCCCGCGTACTTGGAGAAGGAACCTGTTTCAATGGCCACCTGTGAATGGGGGGAGGGGGACAAGGAAAGGGACGCCTTGAAGGCACAGCGCAGCGCTGCTGGCAGCACGGACCAGCCCAGACTCACGCCACTGAAGCTCGCGTACTTGGAGAAGGAGCCCGTTTCAATGGGCACCTGGAGAGGGGGGTGGGGGGAGGGGTTGGGGGTGGCGATATGGAAGGGTTGAAGAAGGGGAGCAAAGAGGCGAAGCACAGGTCAAAAGTCACAACTACAGGACTAGCGCTCTCAGGCCATTCGTGCCCCCAATGTTGCACCTCATCTGCGCCGGGGATCTCGTAAATGGACCTGGGCGAGTCATCCTCAATGTAAATGGCGTACGCGCAGTCGTACGCTATGATGGAGCCGTTGATGTTGGCACAGAGTGACGGTCACAACCACACAAACAGCACTCTCAGGCCATTCATACCCCTGTGGTCCCACCCACCTCATCTGCGCCGGGGATCTCATAGATGGATTTGGGCGAGTCATCCTCAATGTAGATGGCGTAGGCACAGTCATACACGATGATGGACCCGTTGGCGCGGGCAAAGTCCACCAGCTGCTGCAGCTGCTGCCGCGATGCCGCCCGGCCTGCACGGTGGGAGAGGGGAGGGAGAGGGAGAGGATTTGAGGAACGAGAGGAAGGTGGGCGGGCGCTGCAGGATTAAGAGAGGGGATGAGCAATGCGAGGGGACATGTGTGTGTGCTGACCAGTGGGGTTGTTGGGCGAGCAGAAGTAGATGATGTCGGTGCGGTCGATGGGCTTTAAGGAGCGCACAACTCACTGGTGGGCTTGCAGGGATTTAAGCAATTCTGACATGACTCACCAGTAGGGTTGTTGGGTGAGCAGAAGAAGATGATATCGGTGCGAGGAGCAGAGAGGTCGGGGAAGAAGTCGTTCTCAGGTGTGCAGCGCAGGTACGTCACGTTGCCAAACTGCTGCTGCCTATTGAGTTGACTCAAACTCACCAGTAGGGTTGTTGGGTGAGCAGAAGAAGATGATGTCAGTGCGAGGCGCAGAGGAGAGGTCCGGAAAGAAGTCGTTCTCAGGTGTGCAGCGCAGGTACGTCACGTCGCCAAACTGCTGCGTCTCTGGCACGTACAGCCCCGTCTGCCCCATCATCACACTCGTGTCCACGTATGCCTGATGAGGGAGGGAGAAAAGGGGGGAAGTTTACAGAATGTCAACGAAACAGAAGCCGCTTTAGGTGAGCAGAGCAGGTAGGTGATGCTATCAAACTGCTGTGTCTCTGGCACGTACAGCCCCGTCTGCCCCATCATCACACTCGTGTCCACGTATGCCTGATGGGAGACAGGGAGGAGTTTGAGAAATGTCAGGGAAACAGGAGCCATTTTCGGGTGAATGGTGCAGGTAGGTGAGATGTTAAAGAACTGCTGTGCCTCTGGGGCGTGCAGCCGCGTCTGCCCCATCATCACACTCGTGTCCACATATCCCCTCCATAGTCATTCCATGCCATGCCATGCCATGCCATGACATGTGATGTTGTGCCGTGCCATGCCGTGACATCCATGCCCACAAAGTCAGAGAGATGCATGCAGTTGGCAAGGATAGGCGACTTATACAGCATGTGCAACAGAACAGGAATATCAACGATGGGAACGCGAGGATGGGAGAGCGAGGTTGGCGGAGAGGGGATGGGTGAGAGAGAATGGGGGCAGAGGAGATGGGGAGAGATGATCGGGAGGAGGTTGGGGAAGAGGGGATGGTGGAGTGGGGATGGGTCATACCGGATAGGAGGGGTCTTGGCAGGCCATGGTGACATCAGCGCCGAACATCATCTGGTTGAGTAAAAGGGAACGGATGGGGGGGTTGAGAAGATGGTGAGACTGTGGAAACGACCCAGTCCAGCACGTCCGTACAAGAACAGGAGAAACACATACGGGGGCATAGTGGCATGTAGGACAAAAGGGGTTGGTTGTGTGCCAAGAGCAGTCACTGAGCTGAGCATTCTCAACTGCCTCACCTGCAGTCGTGCAATGTCGCACTTGGCGCCGTTAGACACGAACACCTCGTCCTCCGTGATGCCCAGCTTGCTGTATTTAAGACGTCTCAAAACAAGCCCACCTGCATTCTCAAGCACCCACCTGCATCTCAAGCACTCACCTGCACTCTCAAGCACCCACCTGCAGGCGTGCAATGTCGCACTTGGCGCCGTCAGACACGAACACCTCGTCCTCCGTGATGCCCAGCTTGCTGTACCACGTCGCACAGATCGCCGCGCGCAGTGCCTGGTGGGGGAAGGGATGGGCGCGCGCGGAGTGAGCATGCGGGGGAAGGAGAGGTGACATGAGGCGGCAGTGCGGCAGCATTGTGACAGCTTGTCGTAGCATGAAGAGAAAAGGTGCGGCATAAACGTGAAGGTTCTGTGGTGCGAGAATTTGGGGATGTTGCACAGCCCACTCTACTGACATCCCATCTCTCTCCCCATACAAGCAACCCCTCTTCTTCTCGCCCTTCTCCTCCCATCCCCCTCTCTCAGCATTCTGTTCCTCCAATCGTCCCCTCTGTCCGCGCACCTGCTCGCCCTGCTCGGCGCCATATCCGGAGTAACCCGCTGGCGTTGACAGCCCTTGCGCCCTCTGCGCGCGACAGCGGGAGCGGATGGGGTAGGAGGGGGAAAGGGGGAGAGGGGAAGAGAGAGCGGGAGGGGGAGGGGAAGGACGTCAGCAGGGACGGGTGACGAGTAACTTGAAAACAATCTGCCCGTGCTGTCAAGTTCGTTCTTGTTGCCAACAGACAGTGCTCCAGTTGTGTACTCGTACCCACTTCGTACGTTATAATAACTTTTCCTGCATACATCGTGCGCTGCGCGTGTCCACCACTGTGCATATTCAGCCCCGTTAGGCACATCCGCCATCACTTATCGCACTGACTCCCATCAACCCCCCACCAACCCCAACAACTTCCCGCTTTTCTCCACCCCCGCAACGGTCTCACCTTGGCCATGAAAGCGGTGATAACGTAACGGTCATTCCCCCATCTCACCTTGGCCATGGCGGCGGTGATGACGTCAGGGATGGGCTCCGTGGTGTCGCCGATGCCCAGGCTGATGATCTTCGCGTCGGGGTGCTTCTCCAGGTGCGCGCGCCGCCGCCGCGCGATCTGCGGGGGAGTAACATAAAAGGAATGCGGTTGTGATTCAGCTGGTAGGCGGGTTGGATCAGGGTGGTGCATTGGCGGAAAGGATTGGTTTGGTGGTTGCGGAGCGAGGCGCGGAGTGAGACGGGAGTTGGGAGAGCGAGCGGCGTACCTCGGGGAAGAGGTAGCCCGCCTGTAGCTTGCCGATGTTGTGGTTGCGCTTCACGCCCGTGCGATACTCTGCGACGTCGCACACAGGTAGGGGTGAACGGCGAAAGACATCGAAAATTTTTCATGATTGTTCAAGAGCCGGGTAGGCAAATCGCTGACCGAGATTATTGTAGGAGGTCAACGCATGATAAAAAAAAAAGGTTGTTCTTCGTCTGCGAACGACGGGTTGAAGACAGCCTGAATGATGTGGCGTGGACTGCCTGGGCTTAGAGGTATTGAATGGTGTTGAATGGTATTGAATGGTATTGAATGGTGTTGAATGGTGTCAAATTGCGTTAAATATTGTGAGACGGCACGTGCCTGAGTCGGAGGAAGCGCGCACGGTGGCGACATTGGACCTCGTAGACGACGATCCGGTACGCGCAGCGCTGCAGTCACGGCAGGCACGACAGGGATGCGTGGGTGGGGGAGGGTTGCGTTGTGATCATAGCCGCATTAATAGGCGATCAACAGCGTCCATTATGTATACTTTCGACGGTCATTATTGGGTGGCCGGACTTACCGCAGAGGGGTTACTCTAAGAGGGGAAAATGCATGCGACGAGCTGCTGGAAAGGGACTCAGCGGCAGCGGCGGATCGAAGGCCATGCGACTGGAGAGCGACGGCTCGCTCTGCTGACGTGGCAATGGACGCCATGGCAACGAGTATGGGTGAGTGACTGAGGTAAGGAGGCACAAATAGGATCCGTCGGCGACGCAAAAAAGAAATGACAATGACAAGTCGATTTCCGTGGACCAGCAAATAATGTCAGTGAGTATCAGGATTCGTCGAGAGGGAACACGGATAAGAGGCAGCAGCAGCAAGCAGCAGAGCTTCGGGATTACAGTACATCTGCCTAGGCCTTGGGAATGTCAGAGCTGCCTTGAGAAATGCCCCAGTCCAGCTGGGCAACGAAGGTGGTTGGGGGTGCTGACTGTGCAGGGATGCGTGGCGGGAGATGAGTGGGTAGATGTGCGGAGGCGATTAGCGGATTCGCTGTAAGTGGCTGACGGTGCTGCAATGAAGTGCGGAATGAAGGAATTGGCGGGAAGGTGAATGCAGGCAGTGCCGTGGATGACGCGATTGTTGTGATTGGTGCCACGCGGGTGCATCCGTTCGCCTGGTACACGAGAGATCTCGCCGCGTCGGACATTTTGATAGAAGGAATTCTTTCGCATCATGATCATTATAGACTGCAAAACTCCTGGCAGTGTAGCACAACTTGTCTGTAACGAATGACGCAGTGGTGCATCATGATCCATGCTCTGGGATTTCCGGCATGCCTGACTGGTTCTGTGCGAAAATATCTGCACTTCTTCAAAAGTAGGGTTTTGTTTCGTTGCTTTGAATCTAAGATCTCATCATCCCGTAAAAGCTGGCCCTAATCTCATCTCCCCGTAGATACTGTACCGTCTTGCTCAGCCAGCATGTCAGGCGGCGGTCTTGCCGGAAACGGTTCTCTCGACGATGAGCTGTGAGTACATGGAGTTTCGCTCCTTATCCTCGCTCACCTGCTTGGCACGAATCGCATTGATTCGCTGTCTGACTGAATCACTGCTTGCTTCGCTGCTGCCTCATTCGCCGTCTCCCCCCTGCGTCTCATCCCACAATCGCGCTATCGGCCGTCAACCAATGGCAGAGCGAGGAGCCACGTGGTGCGGCTGCGCGGGCTGCCGTTCAGCGCGACGGAGTCGGACATTAAAGCCTTCTTCGATGGGCTCGACATCGCGCCCGACGGCATCGTGCTGCAGCTCAACTACCAAGGTGACGTCATCGCGCGGCGTTGCTCATCCTTTTGCTTGGCGTATGGCGATCCCCGCTCGTCGTTCCGTGACGTGCCTTGTGCCGTGCGGACCCTATGTCGCGTTTCTCTCACGTGCATTCTTCTCGTCCTCTCGCGTTCTCCCATCCATGCGCTCCTGCCATGCGACGGCAGGTCGAGCGACGGGCCAGGCGTTCGTTCGCTTCGCCGACGCCGAGAATGCGACCAAGGCCCTCGAGCGCAACAGGTGGGGAGCATTCCCTCCTCGTATGCCATTGGCGCGCTTTCCGCGTTGATATTTGCACAGAGCGTTGCTGCCCCTGGCTCACACCTTTATCTGTGTTGCTTCCAGGCAGCACATCGGGTCGCGCTATATCGAGGTTTTCAAGGGGCATGCAGCAGACATGGAGGTGCGTCTTGCGATTTTGGATCCGCATGTCTGATTTCCGTCGTGCGCGCGTGCATGTATAGACCAGCTGCTCTCCTTCTCTTATGGTCTGCACCATGTCGTATCCACGGTATTGCCGAGCGGATAGTGCGGTGCTGTGCGGTTAGCCGGGATGGCGCAATGGAATGGAGTGGTGGCGTGGTGGCATGGCATGGCCTCGTGTGGATTGCGTTGCATGCATGCGCCGTGGAATGCAGGGGGCTTTAAGGATGGCGGGCAGGGGCGGTGCTGCTGGTGCTGGTCCGGGGGCGGGGGCGCTCGGTATGGGCATGGGCGGCATGGGCGGCAATATGGCGGCGGCAACATCTGGGCTGCTTGCGGGTGCTGCTGCGGGGGCTGGGGTGCCAGGAATGGCGGGCAACACGGACATGCGCTACAGCGGCGTCATCCGCATGCGCGGCATGCCCTATAGGTGCGCGCTCTGCCCTTCCCTTGTTCTACCATGCGCGGCATGCCCTATAGGTGCGCGCACTGCCCTCCCCTTGCCCTACCATGCGCGGCATGCCCTATAGGTGCGCGCACTGCCCTCCCTTGACCTATCATGCGCGGCATGCCCTATAGGTGCGCGCACTGCCCTCCTCTTCCCCTACCATGCGCGGCATGCCTTATAGGTGCGCGCTGGCCGCACGTGCGTGCGTCGCGTCGAGCTGTGTCCCACGTCTCCCTGCTGCATTTTCTCTCCTCCTTCGAATACTCGCAGCTTCCTGCCACCTCAGTCTCTTTTCCGCCTCTCCTCGCCCCTCCCTCCCCGCCCTCCCCGCGCTCCCCGCGCTCCTTGTTTCCCTGCGCTCGCTCCGCCGTGCGCGGTGTGTGGTGGCGCGCAGCGCGACGTCAGCGGACATAGCGGCGTTCTTCAAGGGCATGCAGATCGCGCACGACGGCATCTTCCTCTGCTCGCACCCCGACGGCCGCGCCACTGGCGAGGTGCGCCGTGCACACATCTACACTCACAGCGCCTTGCACGCATTTACACTCACATGTGTTTACAACGGTTCATGTCTGTTTATCTTAATGATATGAACTCGTGTCGGTTCATTTCGGTTCATATCCGGCCAGCAAAGCTGTTGTAGCAGCGCGTCTGCCCGTGCTTCTCTCTCACTCTCCTTTCTTGCTTGCCTGCCCTGCTTGGCGTGCGTGCGTGGTGTGCATGTGTGGCGTGCATGTGTGCATGTGCGTGCGTGTCTTCTGGGCGTGCATGCTTGCCTGCGCTGCTTGGCGTGCGTGCGTGGTGTGCATGTGCATGTGTGCGTGTGCGTGCGTGTCTGCTGGGCGTGCATGCGTGCTGTGCGTGGGCGTCGTATGTGGGCGGGGCGGGGCGGGGCGGCAGGCATTTGTGGAGTTCGCGAACGAGGAGACGGCAGCGAGGGCGCTGCAGCTGCACCGGGAACCCATGGGCCATGTGCGCTCACACCCCCCTCTCCCCCCTGCTCGCTCCCCTTCCGCTCAGCTTCTTCCCTTTTCTCCCATGTGCTTCCTCCCTCGCTCGCGTCTCTTTTCTGCTCGTGCTTCGCGCTCCCCGCATGCCATGCGTCGTATCGTACCTCTCCCCCACGCCCAATCCTCGCCTTTTTGTCTTTCCTCATCTGCTCGCCTGCTTTTGCCCTTCTGCCTCTCCCGCTCACCCGTCACATCTTCCCTTCCCCCTTTCCTCCCCCCCCCTCTCCCCCGCCTGTGCGCGCGCCAGCGGTATGTGGAGCTGTTCCGCAGCACCAAGGGGGAGATGATGGCGGCGGTGCAGCAGCGCATGTACTCCATGTTCCCGCCCGTCCCCGCCTTCATGGGCCCCGTAAGTCCCCTTGCCCCCTTGCCCCCTTGCCCTAATGTGCCTTTTGAGTCGACACAAAAGTCACCGCGGTGCAGCAGCGCATGTACTCCATGTTCCCGCCCGTCCCCGCCTTTATGGGCCCCGTGCGTAACTGCTCCTCTTGCCCCAACATTTTGCGTCAACCTAGACTACACAACTGCTGCTCTCTCAGAATTATGACTGAACAGCGGTGCAGCAGCGCATGTACTCCATGTTCCCGCCCGTCCCTGCCTTCATGGGCCCCGTGCGTCCCCTTGCCCCATTTCCCCCTTGCACACCTGCCCCCTTGCCCCTTGTCACATTCCCGCACCCTCCTTTTCTTCTCCCGCTCGCACACCTACCTGCCACTCCCCTTCCCCATCCCTCCCTCCTCCCTCCCTTCCCCACCTCCTGTGCTGGCTGGCGGGTCTATGGGCAGGTACCGGGAATGATGGGCTTCGGCATGCCAAGCTTAGGCGCAGCCAACCTTGCCGCCATGCACATGGGCGCGGGCGGAATGGGCGCAGGGGGGATGGGGGGCGGAGGCATGGGGGGACCAGGCGGCCCTGGGGGCGGAATGGGCGCAGCACAGGCAGCAGCAGCGGCATCAGAAAACGTGTGCATAAAGATGCGCGGGTTACCCTTCAGTGCAGGCCAGGAGGATATCCTGGCGTTTTTCGAGGGGTATGAAGTGGTGGGGAACGGTGTGCACATCATGACGGGGCACAACGACCGGCCGACAGGAGAGGCGTTTGTGGAGTTTGCCTCGTCGGAGGAGGCGGGGCGGGCCATGGAGCGCCACCGGCAGCACATGGGCAATCGTTACATCGAGCTCTTCCGTGTCTCCAAGAGGTGGGTAGAGGGAAGGGAAGGAAGGAGGTTGTGTGGGGGAGGGGTTGGGAGGTGAGGACTGCAAATGGCTGTATCAGCGGAGGAGGCGGGGCGGGCTATGGAACGCCACCGGCAGCACATGGGGAATCGTTATATCGAGCTGTTCCGCGTCTCCAAGAGGTGGGGGTTTTGAGGGGAAGGGGAGGAAGGAGGTTGTGTGGGGGAGGGGTTGTGATGTGAGGCAACGCACATGGCTGTATCAGCGGAAGGCGGGGAGGGCCATGGAGCGCCACTGGCAGCACATGGGCAACCGATACATCGAGCTGTTCCGCGTCTCTAAGAGGTCAGTCTGGTGAAGGGGCGAGGAGCGGAGTCTGTGGAGTCGGTGTGTCTGCTGGCATCTCCTCCTGGGGCAATCGCTGTCGCTCATGACGCGCATGCCTCGCATTCCCCTCATGTCCCTCATGCTCCTCATGCCCCCGGGTCTCTCCTGTCCCTCGTGTGGCTGTTGTGGCTGGTGTGTGTGGGGGGTGCGCTGAGCAGTGAGGCGCTGGTGGCGGTGCAAGGGGGGTCGTTGGCGGGGTTCAACCTGTTGTTGTGTCTCATGTCCCTCGCATGCGGCATATCCCTCATGTGCCTCACATGCGTGTTGTGTATCCCTTGTTCTGCCTGGTGTGTGGGGTGCGCTGAGCAGTGAGGCGCTGGTGGCGGTGCAAGGGGGGTCGTTGGCGGGGTTCAACATGGCGGGGGCACTGGATCCCAACATGCAGCTGCTGCTGCTGCAACAACAGGTCAGTCAGCCATGCCCTCCGCTTCCATATATTTGAATGCTCCATTACAACGCTCCTTGCGTGTAACTCTTGCTATGGCACCAGCACCTCTGTTATGCCACCACCCTTTATTCTGATGCCTGCACCAACCCTCGCTTGCCCCACTTCAACCCACGTGCCTGCCCACAGCAATTGCAGGCAGCAGCAGCAGCAGGGTCGTTTGGCATGGGGGGATGGGGGGGCGGCATGGGCATGGGAGGGGGGGGAGGAGACTTCTATGGACGCCAGGGAGGGGGAGGAGGGGGTCAGGGCTTTGACCCCTCACACCAGGTATGTTTATTACTCCCTCTGCCTGCTCTACACACCCTGCCTTGCACGCACACTGCAGTTCATCCTCTATCCCGCTGTCAGCAGTTTCTTCTATCTCCCTTGCACACACACTGTTCTTTCTGCCTGTACTCTGCATCTCACTCTCTTAATTTGTTTGTCTGCCGTGTTGTGAGCAGAACTAGAGGAGCATCGCACCTTCGACTGTGCCTCCTGCACTGCAGTCTGATAACTCAGTGGATGTCACGTGTCGGTCCAGGCACCGATCCGATCATACCGTACATGGATCATTAACATAAATGAATTGCAAAGCGTATTCTTCCATGGATCGCCTATTTTGTAGAAATTGCAGGAGGCAGCTCCAGATGCCTCCACTGCTCTGCACGTTTTCAAGATATATATTGCTAGTTAATGAACACCATATGTGGAGTGGAGTCACAGCAACCCATTTACCGTACGAGGCTAAATCGACCACAAGGCTAAACACAACACACGCTGTGCTTCTAGGGGAAGGGAAAGCGTTCTCCCACACCAGTGTAAGACCCATGTAGCAGGAAAGCGAGCTTGTCAAATGAAGTGACACGCAGCGCCCTCCTAACATCTATTGTGGAACCATGGCCACCACAAGGCTAGCAAGACACTCAACATGCCCTACGCATCTGGAGGGAGCCAGCAGGATGAGCAGTCCGGCCCAAAGTACTGCACCTCCCCCTCACAGCCCCTTAGAGCAGAAGCACCTCCCCCTCACAGCCCCTTAAAAACAAAGGAGCCTCCCCTTCACAGCCCTTTAGAGCAGAGGCGCCTACCCTCACAGCCCCTTAGAGCAGAGGCGTCTCCTCCTCACAGCCCCTTAGAGCAGAGGCGTCTCCTCCTCACAGCCCCTTAGAGCAGAGGCGTCTCCTCCTCACAGGGGGCTGAAAGAAGACAAGGGGAATGAGGGGTGAGTGGTGCAGGGAGAATGAGGGTGAGAGCGAGGAATGTACTGCGCATGCGGCGGGAACGATGGAGAAAGGAAGGAAGGCTGAGGGTAAGGCAAGGGGAACGAGTAAAAGTGATGCAGGGGGTAATGAAGGGTGAGCTCAGAGGGAAGGAATGAGGGAATGAGAAAGGGATGAGTGCAGTAAGGAGAGGAGGCAGTGGGGATAAGAGGAGTGCCCAGGGGGAATTATGGGAGCAGGGAAATGAGGGATAAGTGCACAGGGATGAGCGGCGCGGGTAGGGGGACTGAGGGATAAATGTTGGGGGGAGGGGAGGGGGGATGGAGGGGGGGGGGGGAGAAGGTGAGCGCAGGGGGAATAAAGAATCAGCGCAGGGGGCATAAGGATGAGCGCAGCGGGGGAAAGGGATCAATACAGGGGAGAAAACGGATCAGCGGAGGGAGGAAAAGGATGAGCGCGAGGGGCGAGGCGTGAGCGAAATGGGGATGATGAGTAGAAGCGGAGCAAGGGATGAGCAAGGAATGGGGTGGGGGGGGAGTGACGGGAGAATGGGGGGATATGCGGGGCGGCAAAACGGGGGGAGAGGCATGCATAAAAAAAGTGCTGCCCTGCAATTGCGATAGCAGGGAGCGTCGGAGGAAGCGGGGTGGGAGGGGGCGAGGAGAGAGATTTTGAAGGCATGCATTTGTACTCCACCACTCTGGCGAACAAGTTTAGGTGCCTAGAAAAAGCGATTATACCATTATAGTTTCGAAGTGAAACAGCATCTGGGTGCGTGATAAGAGATAGCGTAAGCGCGCATCAAAGAAACTAGGCGTTTCTAGGGTTTGTTTAAAAACTGGTCCCGTACGATAAAAACGGTAGGTGATTAACAAGGAAAATGAAGTAGCGTGACATGCGCTAAAATGAGTGCCTTCCGGAAACATAGTAGAACTAATCAGATGGAAAATACAAAAGGTAAATCGTAAGCATCCAATTGCGCGCTGTTACCCAGGGTAAGATCTGAAGCGGGACTCAAGTCCAACGTTACTACAATACGAGAAACGGAAATTGCGAATAGGTACTGCGAGCAAGCGGTTCTAAGTGAAGCGAGATAACTAGTATAGGTTCTAGGATCTGAGCCAGGTAATCAAATAATCGGATCTGAGACAGGAGGCATTTGGGAATACCGAGCAGGTGGGTGGGTGGCCCAACCCAAAAACCTCCTCTGCGAGTTTCTCTTCGTTTTCGGTTTCGATTGGTTTGCTGTGATTCATATCCAATTTTGCTTTTCCAACGGTTTCACATTCTGATTGGTCCTTGCATAATTTTCCTTCCAACCTGTTCCGTTTCAGCTGCCCAATTCTTGTTGAACGAAATCTCAAACCTGCTAGCTGCGGTGAAACTTCAAAATTTTCCTTCTTGGTGTTGTTGCCGTCCCGTAACTCACGCAATATACTCGCTTGCCTACTACGCAACCTGCCCGTGTTTTGGAACCTCTCTGTAGCAGGGACGAGCTTCCCTGCCGTAGCTTCAACCATATACGAGCGGAGCCACATAAACACAAAAAGCCATACTAAGCACAAAGTTGTGTATAGCAAAACACAAACTTGTGTATACAAGAACAGCTACAATGGGGTATGGATGCCAACAGTTTCATCGCGCCAATTATTCTGACAACTTTCGAGGTTGAACCAAAACTTGCCGACATCACAAATAGCGATCAATTTGGCGACCCGGCCGTCGGCCATGGCTGGATTCACGATATTCAATCAAAGCCACAACTAGCCGCACCTTGTCTGCGATCGGCGGATTCACTTTTGGCGGCGCCATTATCATCTTGATTCACAAACCCCACCTTGTCGACTGAGCCGCACACGCAGCACCACACAACTGAGTCCGCAACCATCACCACCCCAGTCGATCTGACTCTTCGGGCCACCAAAACTTGCTGCGCTGATGATTTTGGCGGTCTCGCGCGCCGTCGGCACGATATTGCATCGAAGCCGTTCAGATTGAGCGGCGGCATTTGCCACCCTTGATTCCCGAGCCCCACCCTTCTCGAATATTCCATTCAACCAACTGGTTCGAGCACACAGCACCACACCACAATCAGGCCTTCTCCCGTCAGTTAGCTTGAGAAGCCACTATATGCCATTTACAGCTTCAATCAGTTGGATGATGAATTTTCGACAAAGTCATTTTTTTATGAGGAGCACCGAAAAGCCCGAGTCAGCCAAAGGCATGCAGCAGAGCGTGTGTGCGCTCGCAGCGTCGCAGCGTCGCGCGTAGGTTCGCAGCATTAGGCGCGCAGCATCGCAGCACAGCTCGCAGCGCAGCGTCGCAGCGCAGAGTCGCCGCGCAGGCTCGCAGCATAGGCTAGCAGCACACGCTTTGCTACATGCTTCTGGCTGATTCGTGTGCCTCGATGGTGCTCCTCGCCTCCATTCTCGGAATGTGTCTACTAGCTTCAACTTGAGTAGATCAGAACGCTGCGTAACTTGAAGACAGTCCAAGACCGCTGCTATTTTGAAGACATTTGAAGATATTTTTCACTTGAAGATTATAAGGCGCCGCGAGCTTCCAGGATAAGGATTTCGTGCTTTGATTACAGATCAGAAGATCGTCTTCAACTCAAGCTCCGGCGCCGCGAGGACTTCAGAAGACTTTGAGCCTTCACAAGATCAAGACGGCGCCGCGACAACGTCATCGCGTCGCGATCTGCACGTCATCGCGGCAAGGGTGAGTTTCTCTCCCTATGGCGTGTTTGTCGCGCTTTGTCGTGCTTTTCTTGTATTTGTTCTTCCTGTTCTTTCTGTTCTTGTTTTCATCTTGTTTTCATCAGTTTTACTAACCTTTTTTTCGTGTTTTAGTGCGCAGGTTTCATGGAGGGGAGGCCGCGGGAGCTATCACTCTTTCCCTTCTGTCTCTCTCTCTGTCTTGTCTCCGAAGGTTAATGGAGGAGGAGCACAACGGACGGGAGGTCGTGGCTGGAGGAACGAAACCAACGGTGGGTTTCTCTACCTATGTCGAGTTTGTCGCGCTTTTCTTGTCTTTGTTCTTCCTGTTTTTTCTGTTCTTGTTTTCATCTTGTTTTCATCAGTTTTACTAACCTTTTTTTCGTGTTTTAGTGCGCAGGTTTCATGGAGGGGAGGCCGCGGGAGCTATCACTCTTTCCCTTCTGTCTCTCTCTCTGTCTTGTCTCCGAAGGTCAATGGAGGAGGAGCACAACGGACGGGAGGTCGTGGCTGGGGGAACGAAACCAACGGTGGGTTTCTCTACCTATGTCGAGTTTCTCGCGCTTTTCTTGTCTTTGTTCTCCCTGTTTTTTCTGTTCTTGTTTTCATCTTGGTTTCATCAGTTTTACTAACCTTTTTTTCGTGTTTTAGTGTGCAGGCTTCGTGGGGGGGAGGCCGCGGGAGCTATCACTCTTTTCCTTCTGTCTCTCTCTCTGTCTTGTCTCCTCAGGTCAATGGAGGACGAGCACAACGGACGGGAGGTCGCGGCTGGAGGCACGAAAACAAGGGTGAGTCTCTCTACCTATGTTGTTTTTGTCGCGCTTTGTCGTGCTTTTCTTGTCTTTGTTTTTCCTGTTCTTTCTGTTCTTGTTTTCATCTTGTTTTCATCAGTTTACTAACGTTTTTAAGTGTTTTAGTGCGCAGGTTTCGTCGAGGGAAGGCCGCTGGAGCTTTCACCGTCTTCTCCCTCTCCTTCCTTACCAGGCCATGGCGAGGAGCAGAAAAACGACACAGCACGGCACGGCACTGCTCGGCACGGCACTGCTCGGCAAAGCACTGCTCGGCACGGCACGGCTGAAGGGTGAGAGTTGGTAAGGTACGCGGGTGGCGAGTAGGAGCGACGGGGTGGCGAGTAGGAGCGACCACGTGGTACAGGTACTAGTTAGATGCGACGCGCGCTCGTGGTACCCGTGGTACATGTTCGAGGGAGGGTGGGGGTGGCGAGTAGGAGCGACCACGTGGTACAGGTATTAGATGTGATGCGCGCTCGTGGTACTCGTGGTAAAGGTTCAAGGGTGGTTGGGTAGTATGCATGCATACAGATGGGTTTCCCATTTCAGTAGCCGTGGAGCATCCCCGACTCGAGGCGCCTTCATCCTGACATCTGACATCCGGATATTTGAGGTGGCGGGACAATCTAATTTTTGCCCCTGTTTCCCACAGGTGACCCGTACGAATAACCCCCACCTCAGCGCGGTGTACGGGTGAAACGCTAGGAGCTTGCTCCTAGCGGCCAAGAGGGGTGAAGAC